ATTGCTGTGGTGTTATTACTTCTATAATGTTACTTTTGTGATCATTTATACTATAGTTTGAAGCCAAGACAAATCTTGTTATTCCCTTAACCTCCTGATCTTGCTAATTGGACTTTGCTACTCTGAGCTAGGCATCAGGAGAGCCATAAATCTGCTTTAGTTTCCATTGGCGTAGGTTTGGATTTGAACTATGTGACTATGTGAAGATGAAAGATTGTCTATAAATACTATAAATTATTGATTTGTATAGCAAAATAAGAGGCACACATTATAATTGGTTGCTATGTCTCTTAGATATATATAGCTTTTTTTTCCTTGTAATTTATTTGTTGAGGAAACTATGCCATTTTTTCCTAGAGAATTTCTGATGGTCTGGGTTTTGATGATAACATCTATGTGATATTGTTTAACATGTTCTGCTGTTTGTAATTCCTATATACATTGGTAGTTGGATCTAGAAGCTTAAATACATTCAGTAATTCTGGGAGGTAGGGAGGAAACTATTTCATAGTGGTATTGTGATCTTTTATCAAGAGGTATATGTCATCTGGTTGTCTTTCCAACTGCTGATGATTAATGTTTAGATCCATTAATTTATGAGAGGTAATATTCTTCTCATTCTATTATTGTTCCTTAATTTATTAGCTAAAATATTTCATTATAGAGACATTTTCCTTAATCTATTATTTGATTACCCTGTGGTATAGTTAAAAGAAGACATTTACTTCATTCTTTCTCTTTATTGACCAGTTCTCAGAATAATGAATCGGTGTACTAGAATACTCCAATGATGATCAATTAGTTTTTTCAGTATCATTATAAACTCATTTAAATATTGAGTATATTTCAAATCAAGTGCTTTTTCTACCTCTATTAAGATAATTTACACAAAGTTTTTCATCTGTTAAGTGAATTCTATAAATTGATTTTCTGTTTTAAGTCAACCATTTATTCTAGCAGAAACTTAACTTGATGGAAGTAATTTTTAAAAATTTATTGCTTGATTCAGACTGTAAATATTTTGTTTAGAAATGCAGAAGTGGAGCCGGGCTCGGTGGCTCAGCCTGTAATCCCGCGCCTTTGGGAGGCTGAGGTGAGTGGATTGCCTGAGCCCGCGGGTTCGAGACCCGCCTGGGCAGCGAGACCTCATCTCTACAATGTATCAAAAAATCAGCTGGGCGTGGTAGCACATGCCTGTAATTCCGGCTACTTGGAAGGCTGAGGCGGAAGGATCGCTGAAGCCCAGCAGGTCGAGGTTGCGGTGGCCGGGAGCGGCCACTGCACTCCAGTCTGGGCGACAGTGAGACTCCAACTCAAAAAAAAAAAAAAAAAAATGCAGAAGTGTTCATAAGTAACTGGCCTATACCAGTTTCTTATTTTTTTCTTATCTCGTTTTGCCACTGTTAAGTTGTGGTATCAAGGTTAAGAAAGCCTCAAAACTAAGTTAGGTAGTGGCTATGTGGTTTTATATTCTTGAGAGAGACTGCAGAAGATAAGAATTATTTTTCCTTGACTATTTGGTAAAACTTATAAAAATGCTGAGATCCATTGCTTCTTTGGCTGCTTGCTTTCTGAACTTTTTAAAATGGAAAATTATACACATATACACACAGGGAAACATTCATAAATCCTAAGTGAACAGCTTGATTCATTATTACAAAAGCAGTTTCACCTTCTCATTTATCTCGTCAGCCTGACTCTGAGTTTTGCAAGAAACCTGATGAGTCAGTGGAAACAGTAGATACATTAAAATGACTGTGCCCTGTTGTTGAAAGGAAAAACATTTAGAAGGTCTGAAAAATGTTATTATAAGTCCAATTCATCATGAAAGGTCTGAAGGATGCTATTATAAATTCAACTCAGCAGGCAAAGTAATTGAACCAGTTTTTCACCTACCAGGTCAAATTATCCTAAATAAGGTTTTTACAGAGAGCTGGAAAGATTTTGATTCAAGTTACCAATGTTTTTCTGAGGAACTATAAGATGGTTAGGAAATATAACAAAAAATAATCTTTCGCTCATTTGCAAACTCATAGTTCTTTTAATATAACAGCCTTTTAAAGATTTTGAGGCTATAGCTAAAACAAAGATATTTAGGATAAGATACAGAAAATGGTAGTTCTTCAGAGCATAAGAAAAAAAAAAAAAATATATATATATATATATATAATCTGACCTAAGGAACCTAGGAGAGAGAACCTCGGATAGGAGGGTAGACTTACCTGAGAAGACTCTAAATAATTCTCAGGTTTGTTAAAAATGGAATGCAATGGGAATGCCAAATGAGATTAATATCTAGAGTAGTCTCTGTGAAGATACTATTCAGATTTTTGGCTAATAAAGACTAGGAGAACTCTTCCTTCACAGTCATATATTATTATTATTATTATTTTTTGCTTACAATTCTACAGGTTATCTTTTACTACAGGTACTTAATTGGGAACAAAATCCAGCTTGATACACCAGAAACTGTATAAACTCCCTATTCTCCATTTTATTAGCAAAGCCTTTCCCTACTTCCAGTGTGCAGGTATTCCCGGTAGGATAAAGAACTACTCTCAAGCTTCACTCCCTGTCATATATGTGTCAGGGACAGAAACTAATAGTTTAGGGGGAATAGATATTCTTCTCATAGTCTGGCAAAATCTTCCAATGAAATCTTAACCATTCCTGATCCGAATATCAAATTTTATATACAGAAGACTAATTGTGAACAGTGTATATATACTATCCAATATAAAAGTATAAAAAACAGATTAGTGGCTGGGCACAGTGGCTCAAGCCTGTAATCCCAGCACTTTGGGAGGCCGAGGCAAGAGGAATGCCTGAGCCTGAGGGTTCGAGACCAGCCTGGGCAATATGGTGGGATCTCATCTCTACAATAAATAAAAAAATTAGCTGGACATGGTAGTGCGTACCTGTAGTTCTGGCTACTTGGAAGGCTGAAGTAGAATGATCACAGAAGCCCAGCAGGTTGATGCTGGGGTGGCCATGAGTGTGCCACTGCATTCCAGCCTGGGTGATGGAGTGAGACTCCAACTCAAAATCAAAACAAAACAAAACAAAAAAACAGAATAGCAATAGCCCCAATATCACAAGGCTAGGAACTTAGTGGTCAGATTTCTATGTTTATGTCAAACCATTTACTTAATAAATATTAATTGAGTGCCTAGGGTGTTAAGTACTGTTCCAGCACACAAACTCACTCAAAGAAAAAAGGGTTATGATTTCATTAACTCTTCTCATTAACTAAAAGACTATTTTAAGTCCTTAACACAGAAACAGCAAAAAAGGGGGGAGCGGATGTGATGATTCACACCTGTAATACTAGCACTTTGGGAGGCCGAGTGGCAGGATCACTCACTTGGCACTAGGAGTTTGAGACCAGCCTGAGCAACATAGGAAGATCCTGTCTCTACAAAAATAACAAAATTAGTTTGAGCTATGATCATGTCACTACTTTCCAGCCTGGATGACAGAGATCCTGTCTCTGAAACAAACAAACAAACAAACAAACTGATAAAGAGCAAAAAAGGAGTATTCTGTTTCTTCAACTAATACTCTGAAGCTTTTATAGGCAAACAAGTCATACCAAATACTTTCCCTACTTTGGATTTTTTGATAGCTTATTTTTCCACAGTTGCTTTGCACATATTCAAACAGCAAAGTTCAGCAATGTACACTCAAAATAGGCCTCAAATCAAAAGACATACAAAATGGCTATTAATATATTAAAAAGTACTTAACCTAACTCATAATTAAAGCTGTATAAATAAAAATCAGGGATGCCCTTTTCACCTATTAGGTAAAGAAAAAATTTTAAGATGGATAATACCAATTTTGAAGATAGGGAGTCAAGCATTTTTCCATACCCCTTATTGGTGGAAGTTCAATTTTTAATGTATCTTTTTGAAAATGTAAATAGCCTTTGAGTAAGGAATTACATTAGGAATTTACCTTATAAATATACTAGCAATGAGAATGCTAGGATATAAGCACAAGATGTTCACTGCAACATAATTTGGAAAGTATGCTTGGAAATATCTTACATGCTCATGAACAGGGAACTGGCTAAGCAAAATTATAACGTGGAAGCACAGAGGAATACTATTCCACCACAAATAAAAGAATGAGGCAGATCTTCATGTACTGACATGAAATATCCAAGATAAAATGTTAAGTGAAAAAAAAGACAGTCTGTATAATATAACAGAACAATCCACAGATTATAATCTCACTGATACAGAAAGGGAAAAAGATAGTCTTATAATATAAAAACTTATGATTAAAAATTTCTAAAAGAATGCTTAAGAAACTATCAACAACAAGTACTCTGTGGAAGAAGAAGTGAGGTGGTAGGGGGAAAAGATACGTAAAAGGACTTTTGCTTTATGTATATATACCTTTTGTATTATCTGAATTCCTCGCCAGAGTATGTTTTATTTTTATATTTTGAAAATGTATAATTCCTGAGAACCTTGTGAAATTCTTGCCATATTACATGCTTACTGAAATTTAAATAAGTACTAACTAGAAATCAATTCACTTTAATTACTTGTTTCACAGATAAGGAACTGGAACACCAATTTCTAAGGCCATGCTGTTTATGAAGTACTTTCAGTAATTAAAAAGGTGGTCAAAAGACTAAAAAGTAATAAAAAGGGAAAAGTAGTGGCAAAGTACTAGATATTATAAGATATTATATCTTCTTTTCAACATTATCTTGTAAAAAAGAAATTCTAGTTCTTAGATTTCTTTGAAACCATAGAACACATAAAATTACTTTTTAATGTAACTAAATTGAGTCTTAGCAATCAATTACAGAAGTAGCTTCCTAAAATGTACAATGTTGGGAATAGAAACATCAGGAAAAAAGTTGAACGATGAAAAGTAGAAAAGGAAAGAACAGAAAATAGAATTAGAGAAGGGAATAATGTCTGTTAGGATAAATGAGTAAAGGGTGACTTTGGAGTGAGTCAGTCCCCACAGTAATACTATACCTAACAGCTGGCTGTGTTCCCCTGTGATGGAGTTCTGACTCGGGTCTGAAAAACAAACAATTGAAAAGAAAAGAAAAAAATGAATGACCAAAACAAGCAATTTCTTTAAAATCAGCAACAAAAGTCAACTAAGGAAATAAGCAAAAAAATAAAAATAAAAAATTGAAAACTTAAGAAATATTAATAAAAGGATAATAAAAAATAGAGTGGACTATCATAAAATATGTACATTCCTCAAAAGTTAAACATAAAATTACCATGTGTGTGACCCAGTAATTCCACTCCTAAGCAAACATCCAAAAGAACTGAGAGCAGGGACTCAGATATTTGTATCACAGGTTTATAGCAAAATTAATAGCCAAGAGGTGGAAACAACTCGTGTCCTCCTACAGACTAATAAATAAACAAAATGTGGTATATACATACAATGGAAAATTATTTGGTTATAAAAAGGAAAGAAATTCTGATACATATGACAACATGGATGAACCTGGAAGACATTATGCTAAGGGAAATGACCCAGACACAAAAGGACAAATATTGTATGATTCCATTTATATGAAATATTGAGAACAGGTAAATTTTTAGAGGCAGAAAGTAGAGTAGAGGTTACCAGGGGCTGGGTGGAGTGGGGTATGGGGTGTTATTGCTCAAAGAATAGAGTTTCTGTTTGAAGTGATGAGAAATTTTGGAAATAAGTAGTAGTAATGGGTGTACAACATTGTAATTGTAATTAATGCCACTGAATTGTACACTTAAAATGGTTAAAGTGGTAAATGCTGCATTATATATATTTTTTACCCCAGTAAAAGAGTAAATAAAAAAATAATTACCACACAAATTTAACCATGCAATAGGTTCCATAAAGTAGAAGGATGATTCAGACTTATGACGTGAGTTAGATTTTTCTCTTTAATGTCAAAGGTACCTATAGCCATAGAAGCCCAAAGTCAAGACATAAAGCACTCATTACTATTAGCAGATATGTTCTGATGTGATTTTAAGATAAAAAAACTGAATTGGCTTATCAATTTCTTTAATAATCTGAAATAAAATTAATGGCAATAAACCAAGTTTTTAATGCAAGAAATACGGACAATCACCATTTAACAACCACCCACTTGCAAAAGCATTTAAGGGCTAAATATGGAAAAGATCCTGAGCTCCACTTCCCTCAAAGATTAAATCTCTTGAGATGCTGAGGATTATACCTGGCTTCCCTGAATGTGTCTGGAGGAATAAAGATAATTGTAGACTGGGGGGATCTGTGAACAATGGGGAAAAAAATGACAACTTTTTTTTCCCCACTAACCTCAAATTGAAGTTTAGTATTTTCTCCAATTATGACATATGCAAAAGGCTACATAAAAATACCTGTGATTCTGTCAACAGTAAATATCTGATATTTTTATATCACATTCAAATAATATTTGAATTCAAATAATATTTTCCACAGTTCATATATATATATTTAATTAAATCTAACATTTTAATGTACGCATCCAAGACAGAAAGAAACAATCAGAATACTTAACAAATTTCAATTTCTGATATATACTGGAGTATACAAATTTAATCAAGGAAGAAACAAGGTAGAAACCTCATTTCTATAAAGTTTTAAATGCTATTTGAACATTTAAAAATATATTTTCAGAAGATTTTCTTCCTTAATTTGGTGTTTGAATAAGAGAAATTCCAAATTCTTCTATTCTAGGATATTTTCTCCAAACATACTAGCAAATAAATTCCCAATTTTTACTTTAAATTTATCTTGCTTCTCATCTAAATAAAGAATATTGGTCATTCTTGCACATAAGCCAAAGTAGAAATAACAGTTCTAACAGTAAGTTGATGTGTTAGGTTTCTCTCTCACCCTCTCCCTTTGTGAAAATTGGGCCTCCTCATTATAGAGAAGCACGGACGTGGGTGACAAGGAAAGAAGAGTAGACAAAGAATAATAGAATTTTAGAGCTGAAAGAAACATGGTTATCAGATCTACTCTAGTGACTTTAGGGGAAAAACTGGGGAGGGGTTATCACATAATCTATTTTTCTTCCTCCATCATACCAGCATTCCTCAAGATTCTGATTCCCAACTATCCCTAATGTGAATGCCTTGTATCTCTCAGGTATGCTAGGACAGAAAAAGTTGAGAACCTCATATCTTAATATTTATCGTTTAAAAAAATTAATGCCCGGATTAATGAGTAGTTAAAGACACATCACACTACTGCCAAGAGAAATATGTTGGAGATAAGGTAATGTTTTGAGAATTTATCTTCTTGCTTCTCAGTACTCAGTAATTCTAACTTCCTTGTTTAAAACAAAAAACAATCTCCTAATGCAAGTTTCCTGAAATTGTCAGGGAATGTGTTCTATGAAGAGAAATTTTTAAAAAATCTCAGGTAACTCAGGCAAACTAGGTATGGTTTTAGAAAGGAAAATATAAATGATTTTTTCTTTTTTTCTTTTTTTTGAGTTGGGAGTCTCACTCTGTCACCCAGACTGGAGTGCAGTGGCTGCTTCCAGCCACCGTAGCCTCAACCTGCTGGGCTCCGGTGATCCTTCTGCCTCAGCCTTCCAAGTAGCTGGAACTACAGGTCCGCACTACCACACCTGGCAATTTTTGATTTATTGTAGACATGAGGTCTCGCCAAGTTGCCTATGCGGGTCTCAAACCCGCGGGCTCAGGCAATCCACTCACCTCAGCCTCCCAAAGTGCTGGGATTACAGACTGAGCCACCGAGCCCGGCTTAAATGATTTTTTCTTAAAAAAAGAATGAATTTCTGCACTGTATAATATACATGCTGTATGTATATTCTCTACTTTGAACACTCTCCTATATTTGAGATGAGTAGAAACAAGTCTTTTCTGTGGTTCTCCACAAGTTCAACTTAAATCTTTGCTTTTTCATTTTTTATGATTAAAGAATTTATGGACAATCCTTACCTGATACTTTTTTGGTAATTTGAAGACTAACTTCCAAGAACTTACAAATCCTTCATTAATATACGTAAAGCAAAAACAAGGATAAATCTGGGAGTAAACAGGCTCATGAGGTCTCCAGAATGAAACTAGCCATGCCTGTAAAAACCACAATTGTTAAATGGGTTTTTAAGTTGAAGGGTATTTCTGGGTTTGCAATCCAAATTGTGCAGTCAACATGATAATACCGCTCTTGAGATATGTCTGGGCACCTTTCTATTGTCCTGTATCTGAACTCTCCCATTTAATATTTTTCCTATGTCACTGGTAAGGGCACACCCAAGTTTGCCTAAGACTAGGAGCTGTCCTAAATATTACTTTAAATGACATTTATTATAACCAAACTACTTCCTGTGATAGAAACTATGTACCAATAATGTGATTATTTTTGTCCTTTGATGTCCTCCATAAACTAAGCTAATCCTAAGTCATAATTTAACCAAGTTATAATCAAAATCCTGAAATACTCTATAAGTCAAATAGGAGTTCAAATAAAAAACAGAAACAAAACATACACTTTTTAACAACAGGCAGATGCAATCAAGTAAATGAATGCAAATATTTCCTTGGAATAGTAATTACATGGAATTTTAATTACAGCATATTTAACTTATCCTGGGTAACACAGCATATTTAATTTAATATTTAAATGTTAATATAGCATATTTATTTAATATTTAATTTATCCTGGGTAAATGGTAAAGAATGAAGATTTTGTTTAGTTTCTTGCCATGAGCTCTGGAGAATAAAGATTGAGTAAAATGACTGTGGGTCGTACTTACTTGCAAACTACCTCTGTCAAGTTTTTCTGAAGAACTTTATTATTTTCCTTAGTTGGCCCACAGCAATAGTATTTTTCCAAATTTCCTTTGAGAATTACTCCATTTACCATTATTGATAGAGAATTTGAACCAAATAGAGACTACCCTGTCTTTTGCAGCTAAAACTCAGTGTAGAAGGGTTTAGTCTTTATTAAATATAGATTCATTAATATAATTAAGCAACAATCAATGGCAGAAACTATTGCCTAATTCTTTAGATAAAGAAGTAGGCATGACCAATCACATATACATCAGGACAATTAGACAATTATGCTACTGGCTATAATATCTAGAAATACTACAAAAGCTATTTCAGGATAGCAAACACCTGGAATCACTTGTAAGAACACATTTCTAACTTACCAGACTTCAATTTTTTAAAAATCCAAAGAAGCAACATCATCAAAACAAACTATTTTGACTCAGAATTAGGCAAAGATGATGAAAGAGAGAATCAAAGTTGGGAGTGTAAACTAGTACAATCACCATGGAGAACAATATAAGAAGTTCCTCAAAAAACTACAAATAGAACTACCATATGATCAGCAATCCCATTCCATTATTAGGCACCCACAAAAAGGAAAGGTATCAACATATTTAAGAGACATCCACACCCCTGTGTTTATTGCAACACTATTCATAATAGCTAAAATATGGAATCAATATGTTCCCAATAGTAGATGAATGGATAAAGAAAATGTGGTATGTATATACAATGGAATGATTAGTCAGTCATTAAAAAAAATGAAATGCTCTCATCTGCAGTAACATGATGGAATTGGAGGGTGTTATGTTAAGTGATAAGCCAGGAACAGACAGTTCAGCATTGCATGTTCTTGCTCATATGTGCAAGCTAAAAAAAAAGTTGACCTCATAGAAGTAAAAAGTAGATCAGGGAATACCAGAGGCTGGGAAGGGCAGGAGGAAGGGGGAATAGGGAGAGATCTGTTAAAGGATATAGCTAGACAGGAGTAACACATTCTAGTGTTCTATACTCCTGTAGGATGACTATAGCTAACAATAATTTATTATAAAGTTTCAAATAGCTAGAAGGGCTATATGCGTTGGCTTGCATCTGTAATTCCAGCACTTTGGGAGGCCAAGGTGGGAGGATTGCATGAACTCAGGAGTTTGAGACCAGCGTAGGCAATATAGTGAGACCCTGTCTTTACAAAAAACATTTAAGAAGGTAGCTGGGCATGGTAGTCCCAGCTGTAGTCCCAGCTATTCAGGAGGCTA